TTTGTCTGTCCTCTCACATTGGGTTTAGAGCACCAACTGGCTCACGCCACACCCACTGTAGACTTGTATATATTGTTGGCTGAATTGTGCAGCTTACATATTCTACAGCGGATGAAGCAGCTGATGTTACACCAATGCTTTTCATTTTACACTTACGACATACATGATAGGTTATGATGTTGCTACTCTCTGCTTTATTTATGTTTGCCGGTAACAGGCGGCGCAATTAATAGAGTAGATAAATGCATTTAGCTGCATTTTGACACAAAGAATGAAGAACTGACATCCGCCCACTCTGGGCTTTGCCACATTTGCACCGTTCCTTTCTTCGGGAGTCAACGAAGAAGACTCAAACGGATGATACCATTGGCACAGATGTGAGCATGTTAATGCAATCCAAACTTTGACGTATTTGGGGATACAGAAGACATGACCATCGACGGAGAAGTGACACTGGTGCATCTAAAACGTTACAGGTGCAGATACCTACACTTCAACATTTGTCCCGCTACACAGATAAGACAACAGCCTCGAAGCTGTGACGCTGATTATAGTTCATTATATAATAGAATAAGACCATTATATTTTGTTTCCTGCATGTCAGTCCTCCAGGCGACTTAAAGGGATCCACGAGACAATATAGAGAGAACTGACCCGTCAGCTAAACAGACTCGCAGAAAACAATCAAATCGTTCTCCAATGGATCCCGGGTCACTGCGGCGTACCAGGAAAAGAGTAAGCAGACAGACTTGATAAAAATGGAACAAAGGAGAAACAACACACCCATCTGTTTTCATTACCAGAAATCAAAACACTTTTCAAGAGAAAATACGTTGTGAGAGAACAAACTAACAGTAAAAATCCACAAGATCCCATCAGCCGACTCAACAGAAAGCAACACACAACAATTTTCCGTCTACGAACAGGACACTGCAGGCTCAACTACCACATGCATAAAATAAAGATCGTACAGTCCACACAGTGTGATTGTCAAACAGGACCACAAACACCTGAGCACATTCTGCATACCTGCCCACTCTACCTACAACTTCGAAAAGACACCTGGCCTCAAGAGCAAAGTGGGCAGAGCAAGATGTGGGGAACCACGAAGGACTTGCTACTGACATGCGAGTTCATAGAGGCAACCCACCTGATGGTCTAGCATGCGAAACCGAACGCAAAAAAAAAAAAAAAAAAAAAGAAAGAAGAAGTTTCCTACATACTGCCCCTCTCATACGAGGGCAAAGAAAGGTTAGGGTTTACACACTGGAACGATGAGGTTAGTCGACGATCTAGACCCTACTGGCTGAATTAAATCACACCTGACAATACACATGGAAGAACTCTCAGTGGAACTTTGGTGTTGTTCTGACAGTTTCTGAGAGACGGATAGCACGAAGAAGAAGAAAGATGCCTCTCCGATGCGACTCTGTATTTTCTTGTTTCATTGTGACTGCATTTTTTTAATCCCTCCAGAAATATCATTTAGAATAGCACTGGCATCTAGTGCCTTCAATAAACTGTCTAACATCTGGAAATCAAAGACACTTAGCAAACACACAAAACTCAAGATCTTCAATTCTTGTGTGATTCCAGTACTAACCTATGGATGCGAGAGCTGGAAATCAACGAAAACTCTAGACACAAAATTAGACAGTTTTGAAAATAAATGCCTTAGAAGAATACTAAATTTCAAATGGTCAGATTTCCGAACTAATACACAAATAAGGCAAGAATCCAGGCAAGAGTATGTGTCTAATTTTATACGAAAACGCCGCTGGAACTATGTCGGCCACGCCCTTAGAATGGATAAATCAAGACTTCCTTACCAAGCCCTCATTTGGACACCACAGGGGAAAAGATCTCGTGGAAGACCAAGGGAAACCCTACGTAGAACTATCATCAGGGAAGGCTCGCTCATGGGCCACTCAAACATCCAAGACCTACAACGGATTGCAACGGACCGCCGTGCATGGAGAGTCGCGACCTCTGCCCTATGTGCCGCACTCGACACAAAAGGAAAGACTAACTAACTAACTAACTAACTAACCTCCAGAAAACACAAAGAATACTCCACTCATTATTAACTAGCCGACATCTACTACACACAGAAAGCACTTTGCATTATTACAAGATAATATCTGATTTAATACTTTAATGTTTAAACAACGAAACAGAGAGGTCACCACCGCAAGCACTAATCGTAAAGAATATATATAAGATACTTAGGCTATACGTGTCACCACTTACACAGCACAGTGAGATTATCACATTCACAGGGGTGATACCAACTTGACTGTGTGGGTTCCGGGGCCCCATTGTGGGGAAAACAAGAATAGACCCACTGCCTCCCCAATAGCATGTCGTAAGAGTCGACTAATTGGGGAGCTTCCTTTGAAGTCGGAGTGCATCTGCCGGAAAGGCAAGAAACCAACAGTCTGTATTCAAGAGAATGAGATCTGTAAAACTGATGCACACGCAACACTCAGGTTCTGGAGCAGGACTGCAGTTCAGTAGTGGACGAGCAACCAGAACTTTCCGCCAGAGTGTACAGCTGGTGAACGCAAAGAAGAAGAAGAAAAACTTCAAGTTGCCCCTTGGAAAGGAATAATGGAAGGAAGGAAGATATCACACATAAAACCTCTCACTGGAAGTCTTTTTTTTTTAAACTTTATGCTGAAAAGCAAAATAAACAGAGACGATAATGATACAGGAAAAGAAAAAGTTAAAAAAAAAAAAAAGAACATATACCAGTCAAGCACTAAGCCGCTGCCTTGACTGGGTGGTACCTTGCCTACATATACAGACAGTCAATGAGGGTCAGACTGATTTGTTAGTGTGACACTGTCTGACAGTGTAAAGGTCTTTATGTGGCGCTCCAAAAGTTAAAGATAAAGCATACAATCTGGGTCACATACACCCAGTTGTTGGGCGATTTAAAACAGCTGCTGCATTCAATTGTATTGGCAGAACAGTTACACAATACAGACACTGCATAAAGGGGCATAATTTCATTGCCAGAAAAAGCCAGATCAAGAACAACAGAAATCAGCCAGAACGGTGAGATATTAAAAAGTGTGTGTGTGTGTGTGTGGGGGGGGGGGGGGGGGGTCTCAAGGTGCTGAGCCCTTAGGCTCTGGTAATTGTGACCATTTTTGTGGAGACGGCACATATTAAAAAAAATATATAAAGTATACAAATGTGGTTTCTTAAAAACAGCAATGCTAATCACGGAAACTCAAGATACAACAAAACAAATATAACATCAGCTGTGGTGTAAATCAACAACAACATCAGGTTAACAAGTTCGCCGTCGCTGACATGCCTTGCTTTGCATTTTGTCGGAGCAGATGATTTGCGCATACATATTTTCAACAAAACTTGAGCTGTTTATCACATACTTACTGATCAAAGTATAATTTACATTGAAATACGAGTCTACCGTGAATCTTCCCGGTGTTAATCATTGTTATTTAATAACTTATTACATATTAGCGTATTCTAATTAGTTAATTTGTTATTAGTTAAACGATAATTTTAGTTAGCTAGTTAAGTAGTTACGCATCCTTTTCAGGACATTGCAGAACAAACTCCAGGATTCTTTGGTTGTTGTGATTTTTCTATGCAATTTACGTCCAGTAGTTTGCCATTGCCTCTGTACGGTCGGCCTTTCGATACCACTGTCGAAACCAAAGCAAGCCCGCAGATGGAATCGAACCCAGCACACTGGCATTACAAACTAAAGCGTGTTCGCAACACCTAAGCCACAGACAAACGATAATTAGTTTGCAGTATATTAAAATGTTTCCAGATTTATAAAATCATAAACAGTATGTTAAGTAAAGTTGACAAAATGAAACCTAGCTGTATCTGTGTCAAATCTCTGCACCTGTTCTGTCAATTAAGTGCCATCTCTACTGTGAAGGTTGATTGCCTGATTGCCGGGCAGGGGCACCCAGAACATTTGACATGGATTTAACAGCCTCTTAACAATATTCTCTTCTTCTGTGTTCTTTTTGATGTTCAAAATTAATTGTTCTTAGCCTTGTACATGGAAGAATATTTAATATTGAAAAAAAAATAAAAAATAAATAAAAGACAGAAAATGGAAATATTTTGGTCACTTGCTGGCTGGCTGGCTGGCTGGCTGGCTGGCTGGCTGGCTGGCTGGCTGGCTGGCTGGCTGGCTGGCTGGCTGGCTGGCTGGCTGGCTGGCTGGCTGGCTGGCTGGCTGGCTGGCTGGCTGGCTGGCTGACTGACTGACTGACTGACTGACTGACTGACTGACTGACTGACTGACTGACTGACTGACTGACTGACTGACTGATTGTCGTTGTCGGCATATCTGAGTTCTGGGATAGGATTGCCTCCGTCTTAGAATAGTACGAGTTGAAGAAACTTATGCTTGATACTGAAAGAGTTTATCTGTTTGAAAAGAGGTGCCTATTGATGTTTATAACCCCAGCACAAGACGACTATTTTATTATGGACAGATCAGAACAAGTCATTATCCTCCGCCTCAGAACAGGGCACCACCGATTACGTAACCACATGTACACAAAATTCAAGATAGGTGTATCAGCCATGTGCACCTGTGGAAAGGTGCCCCAGACAGCACAGCATGTACTCCAGGACTGCACCCAATTTGACACATTAACTCTTTGAGTCCCAGGGGGTTTAGCAGTAATAAAATCGGCGCATCATGCGTTCATTGGGCTTCTAGGTAGGAACCTATGAACGTATGATGCGTTCCTTGGGACTCAAAGAGTTAGGGCAAACCTTTTATCCAGAAAGAACAACAGTGGAACGTAAACTCTATGGACCACTGAATGAATTAACAACAACAGTGAAATTTATACAAGAGACAACATTGCTGATATAGACAACTTATTTTAGGCGAACGAACGAAAGAAGAAGAGAAGAGGATGTTTATAAATTTTATAACAGGATTTTTTCAGTCTCTTTAACTTTTTGATATAATAGATCACAAGCTCCATATCATGAAATACCACAGCACTAGAGGTGGCGTCACTGGTGTCAGCTTCAAGGATGTAGTACTTAGTGGTTATGCCAGTGACAGGGGGATGTTTTTGCCAGAGACATTTCCCCGAGTCCCTGTAGACACTCTTAAAACCTGGGCTGACCTTTCTTACGTGGAGCTTGCATATGAAATATGTTCACTGTACATCAGTGACCAGGACATTCCTTCTTCTGATTTAAAAGGTTTGTATTATAGAATCTAGGTTTAATAGCTGTGTGTGAGAACATAAACACACATACAATGGACAAGCAGATTTACAGACACATATATGCACATGTTAACATCCACACTCACATGTAAGCATACATCTATGCATACATGCACAAACACACATTCACATCTTTACCAATACAGTGTTTTAGCTCATACTCCATACAAATATTATTCACCCATTTTATTTTATATTTCTTCTGTTTCAAAGCAAATTAGCAGCAAAACATAAATAAAGTTACATTTCAGCAATTCTTGTCAGTATCTAAACATTGCTATAGCTTTTTATTTGTTATCCATACTGACATCCACATCACATTGGTATGGCCCATTTGTGCTCCATTCTCAGAGGCGTCTTCTCAGTATGTCCATGCTTAATGTACCCTGCAGGAGTTGACTGGCATATCTTCTTTCTTTGCCCTGCAACTGGTTTCTATACACTTGTTCTTGTTCAATGCTCATTTCCAACAGGCATTTCATCATCACTGACTCCTTTGTGTCATCATCTCTGGAACACAGCACATTCAGTATGTCTGCCCTGTCCATACTCTTTCCTCTTACAATGACTACAGACATGCCCAGTCTGTTAGCTCTTACATTTCTTGAGAATCAGCTGTACAGATGCCGTGATTGTAACTGACCCACAGAGCATGTTGAGAAAGGTGGAGACAGGCATGCATCTGTGCAGAGTGGCAAGCATCACTTCAGAAGTCCCGGGTAGTTAGCGTCCTTTGGATATTTATTTATTTAGGCAGATAGACTGTTTGGCTCTGCACCACTTGGTGGTGAATTGATGTCTGACAAGCTAGAAATTATGAGGTACCATTGGGAGCGAGTGAACAGTGCAGAGGCACAGATTGATCATTAAAGTCTGAGGAGAATGGCGCTGCAAGGAGTTACCAGGGGATCTGGCAGATGCTCAACACTCCGGGGAAGGGTGAGATGCATATACAATCAGACAGTTACTGGTGACATCAGAATTGCAGCTCTTCGTTTGCTGCTGAAGATAGGAAGGGAGTGCTTATGGGGGATCTCCCTAGTGCTGTGAGGTGGATTCTGAATTCAACATTCAACATTTTTCACCCTGGTGTGTCCCAGTGTGTAAATATTGCCATAAATTATTATGAAATCATCTATCCTGGTGTAACTGCTGAAATACATTTTATTCAGAAATTAACCTGCAGGTATCCTGGAGAAATCGTTTTCAACATTCAGTATTCCTGAAGTGGTCCATATTGCTGAGCTCTCTGAAGGACTCAATATTTCAGAACTTTATCATGGAAGAAGTTTGGCCTTCAAAGACCTGGCCATGAGCTGCATGGGAAACTTTTATAATTACTTCCTGAGCCAGTCTCGACAGCATATGACACTGCTTGTCTGTAAGTAATCATGTTATTAAGTCATTATTTCGCAATATTTGGGTGCAGGAAAGGATTTGGAATATTACTAAGAAATAATTGGACACAATCAGAAAGTTGAGTGGTCAGCTCTAAGAAAACGTAACTAATTATGATTGACAAAAGCAGACAGAAAGGCTTCATCAGCATATTCATGTGGTTACCCTCAGAAGGGCGGTTGGCATGTTATGTTGTGGTTACAGCTAGGCTGTGAAATCTGCACCTTTCAATCCACCACATATTATTTCAGCAAATCCTTAATTAGGTCATTTTATACAACATCTTTCAAGAGCAGTGAATTTATTCTAATTGTTACATCTCAACTGCTCAATTTAAATTGTAAATATCCTTCATGATCAAAACCCAGCCTAACTAAGACTAATATAACCATGTCTCATTTCACCAGCTAGGTGTCAGAACACTTTTATGTATATCTCAATTTGTTCCTTTTGTATATCAGAGACAAGGTTATGAAAACCTATTCTTACCTACCAGCTTTATAAAAAGGCTGCAGAAACATTAGCTAGAACCATAGTCATTCCTGTGTTGTTTCTGGGACCTTGAAAACAAAAACAGAACAGGCCGCTGCTTTTTAACAAAAATTTCATAAAAGAGGACTAATTAGGGATATGCTGAAATTGGATATGTTGGGCTAATATCACATCCTAGCTGTAAACCACACAATGTGCCACGTGCTTTTTATGGTTGACAGCAGAAGAGCAAGAACCACATCTGTCTGTCTTCTTTTACCCCACAAAGACATCACACAAGCGATAAACACCCGATGACACAGAGTGTCACCATGTGGATGAGGATCATCCGTGGAGAGGTCCCAGAAACCGCGTTCAGCCACTAGACCATATTTATGGCCGGGCTATATTGCGGCCCGTGGCAAGAGCCAGAGCAGGGCTTCAAAAAACGAAATATTGCATCCCACAAGGGGATGACTAGATATAATTAGCAAGAACCACAATAATCTGACCTTGTTTCCCTGTATGAGTTTGAAGCCCCATTTTGGGAGAAAAATAAAGAATAGACCAAATGCCTCCCTAATAGCCATGTCTGTGAGTCCGCTTATTAAGTGTTTCCTTTAAAGCAGGAGTGCATCTGCCTGAGAAGCAAATAACCAACAGTCTGCAAACAAAAAAGCTAGATCTGTAAAGCTGATGTGCATGCAAAACTCTGAAGTCTAGAATGGGACGAATGGCTAGAACTTTCTGTTAGAGTTTACAGCTTGTGAACCCGAAGAAGGAGAAGTAGATTCTGACTTTGTCTACTCATAGAAAGCTGACACATGGTGACTATGACATGAATGTGTAATACATATTGGTAACTAAACATTCCTAAAATGTTACATGATCATGTATGTGTACACAGCAGCAGTGAACTACCTGACACACTGGTCTCTAAAGTTAACCTTAACTATACTTAGAATAGCAAAAATGGCAGGGCAAAGATTTTAATAACTATAAAGAAGCACCTAAGCCAGTAATGCCATGTATCAACTAATCCTAATTTTGACACATCCAGCCATCCAGATAGAGACAAAAAAGACTAATTATAAATGCAAACTTTTTACCAACCTTGGGCTGTGGGCGTCAGACTTGAACATTAATTAAAGAACATGAAAGTAAACTAACCACTTGTGAAATAAGATGTTTGAGAAAGCTTGTGGACAAAACTAGAAAAGATCTTGTGAGAAATGAAGAAATTACAAGAACTGTTGGAACAGCACCTATAACTAAATTCATTGAGAAAGTGAAATTATTTGGCCATGTAATGAGAATGAATCTGGTGATGCCAGCATTAAGAGCCTACTTATGTTGACAACCAAGAAGAAGGATTGAAGGAGTCACTGATACCTTGAAAATCACATCATACCAAGCAGTTGAGCGTGCCCCAGTTAGGATACTGATCATCTGTTAACCTGCAGTGGTTAGCGGCACAAAGCAGAATATGGACACAAGAATGAAAGAAGCACTTTCTGAACAATGATACAGTAAATGAATAAGTAAGACTAAGACTGGTGGAATTTTGAAACAGACAACTTGAAAAACAGTGTATGGATGTTTGCACCACACAGTCAAAGACTAACACTTGAAAAACACTGTAGATGTGACTACCACACAGAATAAATCCCAGATTAACATTTGAGAAGCAGTACAGTTATGTTTGCACTGCAGAATCAGCTGAAGAAGACTACTGCTGAATTTCTAGATTTCACAGACATTAGTTCTTTCAAAACATAACAGTCACCAAATGTATTATGGGCCCCATTAAAGGAGAGAACAAGAAAGAATAGATCCACTGCCCCCTAACAAGCATGCGTGCTTGTTGACTAATTAGGGATGTTTCCTTGAAGTGCACCTGCCTGAGAGGTGAGGAACCAACAGTGTATAAAAGTAAGCCAGATCTGTAAAATGGATTTGCACACAAAACTCAGGTTTTGGAATAAGACTAAAGTCCAGAAGTTGATGAATAACCAGAACTTTCCACTGGAGTTTACTGCCGGTGAAGAAGGTGAAGAGGAAGACATCAGAACTGTCTATGGCTGTATGTTTCAAAATCACTGGACTGTATTAATTACAAAAAATGTGAGGATAGTTTGGCTTCCTTCATTTAATTGACAGCAAAGCAATTTGGTAATCTGGTAAACTTAGTTTCACCTTCGTAGCAAACGGATCACCCCATAGTCGCTCCGCTCCTGTGCTAACAAAAAAACACACAGAATGTTCATCACTGTCCCTTGTGGAACAAACTAACACAGACTGCAGTCTCAGCATAGCCACTAGCATACACATGCATTAAAAGCATAAGACGGCTATCAGAAGTGCTAACACAAACAGTCAGGCATCAGAAATGCAGATCATCATCGACGAAAGCAGCAGTTACAAACAGATCAGCAGCTGCACATGTGATCAATTCACATAAGGCACCACCAATACTGTGGCAATCGCCATGTGCCATTTTCTGAATCTACAGTTCACAACACCACATTGGTCACAGTCCAAAAACCTTCCAAATGAAATCCGCAGCTCACCTTATCCCGCTATGCACTCAGCTCGAGAGCTGGACAACAAAACTATTGTTTCCATCTATAAATGTATGAAAATGTAACGGCCATCATTATGACTAAAACAGTGACCATGCCTAACATCAGTTTTTGACCGGTAGCTGATAGCAAAGTGTTTTATTTGGCTTACAGGTCATGAAACATGGTTTGTAATTCAGAAATACCAGGTTTGATTCAGCTACAGGGGATTTGACCTCTGACTCTTTATGTTGATTCTGATAACCATGTGAAGTGTAGACTATTGAGAAATCAGTGGCAAATTGTTGAACAAAAAATTATTTAGAAAAAAACAGCCAACAAATGCTGGAGATAGTTCGCAGCATTGCAAAGGATGAATAACTTATTTTTATAATATTGTCTGAAAAATTATAGAAAGGCATCTGTATCAGCAATTATTGGCAGTACATGAGGCAGAAAGCTGTTTTCAGACAATCTGTTTACCGTGACATGACATAGAGCAGAAGAAACAGAATATTGGGTAGTCATGTTTTTGACATACAAATGGTTATTTGTTTTCCCCATCACTAAATGAAGTTATATCAAATATCACATTTAGGTACATCTGGAGATACTGGAAGTTCAGCAATTGAGGCAGTTCGTGGATTTGAGTTTGTGGATATAATTGTTATATTGCCACGTGGGCGGTGCACAGAGATACAAGAAAGGCAGATGACAACAGTTTTGGACAAGAATGTTCATGTGTATAGAGGTAGGTCTGTGTTTTACACACAAGTTCATAAATGTTCATGTGTATAGAGGTAGGTATATGGCTCTGTGTTACACACAAGTTCATGAATGTTCATGTGTATAGAGGTAGGTATATAGCTCTGTGTTACACACAAGTTCATGAATGTTCATGTGTATAGAGGTAGTTATATGTCTCTGTGTTACACACAAGTTCATGAATGTGCATGTATATAGAGGTAGGTATATGTCTCTGTGTGTTACACACAAGTTCATGAATGTTCATGTGTATAGAGGTAGGTATATGTCTCTGGGTGTTACACACAAGTTCACATAAGCAAATATAAATATGTGTGGGTGTGAATGCCTGTTTTCAGTTGTGTATGTGGATGCAGGTGGATTGGGTAGGGGAGAGGGGATAGATAAAGAAATAAATTATTATTAAAAGACAGTAATAAATTATAAAAGTGTAGTAGTAATAATGAGAATAATAAAAGCATAATAAAATTTGTAAAAATAGTATAGTATAGTAATATAGTAAAATGTGGTGGCTTGGAAAAGACGGTGATGGAAGGTGCAGTTTTTTGAAGGTGAGGTGGGGGCCGACCACCTCGAAGATGGATACAAGACACTGAAGATGCATTGGCATTGAATGCACATGGGGCCGAAGAGCTGGCTAGGGAAAGGGATACTTTCAGGTGTGCCGTGAAGAGAGTGACGTTCTGTAAAGGACTTGCTGACTGATGATGGTAATATTAATAGTAATAAAGTATTAATATGGTTTTTGTTCATTGATACAACATTTTAAAAAAAAAATTGTTGTTTATGTGTGTTTCCTTGGACTGGGATTCCTAGTTGCTTTTGTGTTTTCAGTCATTCTTGGTACATGATGGAGATGATCAAGCCCCAAAAAATCCAGAAAAAAATATGATCACTGATGGTAGCTAAACCCCAGCTTGTGCCCATTTATTAATTGTATTAACTACTCTTAGAGTCGCTGTAGCTTGGTGGCTAGATGCTTGTTTTGCCAGCCCAAAAGTTTGGGTTCAAATTTGCACTAGGACCACATTTTAAAAATAATTTACCCCAACTGCCACATTGACCCAGTCTACAATGTGCAGCAGGAAATATCCTGGGAAGTAAAGGTGGCTGGTATTGTACCGACCACATCACACGTCGACTGCCAGTTGGTCTGTAAAGATATGAGTTTAGTATTATCTGCTCAGTGCTCCCCTCTAATATGAAACGTTTCTTTGCTTACCCTAATTTTATGAACAACTGATCATGGCAGGGATGCATAATGTCATCATCATCAAGGGCCTTTGCCGGCTGGCGAAGGCATTCATGCATCTCCACAGATCTCAGTCTTTGGTGTTGTGGATCAGTTCCACTGATGATATTCCTCCATGTCACTGTCTTAAACCATCCACCATCATGATGGTGGATACATAATGTAGGTTAAGAAAAATAAAACAATAATGCACGCATAAAGCAACATTAAATGACTACCTTTAAATGTAACATTTTATGTAAATTTGTAGATACTCTTGTTTTCCAATAGTTTTTACTTTTGATTTGAAACACTCATGTGAATTGATTTATTTGCAGCTGATGGTACTTCAGATGATATTGATGTCACTGTCAGAGAGCTTTTTGATGACACAGCCTATGTGAAAAAACACCACTTGGCATCACCAAGCTCTCTCAATTTTGGTCGCATAGTTATCCAGATAGTTCATTTCTTCTTCACTTACTTGAAGGTACGTTTTTGTGATTCTCTGGTATATCCACGCTTGTTTCTGTGATCAGTCAGTCACTTTCTTCATGTGGGTTGTGGGTCCCCATTTTGGAGGAAACAAAATAGACCTACTGCCTCCTAACAAGCATGTTGTTGAAAGGGATCAATTAATTAATTATTGAAGTCTGAGTGCATCTACATGAGAGGCCTGAAACCAACAGTCTGCATACAAGTAAGACAGATCTGCAACAGGATTTGCACACAAACTCAAGTTCTGATACAAGTCCAGAAGTGGATAAACACCCAAACCTTCCACTGAAGTTTACAGCTGATGAAGGCTAAGAAGAAGAAGAATCAGTCATGTGTTCTTGTGCCATCTCCACAATGAAGGGTGGCTACAATGAATCTTCAACCCACTCTGTCTTTTGCCCTTCTTGTACAATCCTACAGATTGCTGTCATCCCTCTCTTAATGATATCCTATTTTTATTGTTGCTCAGTTTTCCTCACTTCTCTCCTTTATCCTCTAGTTTGGATTTTATAAGTTTGCTATGTTTAAAAAAATGACATAAAAAAAAATAATTAATATTTGTTTTTATACTAACATTTATATTATTGTTATTATTTTTTGGAGGGTTGAAATCAGTAATGTTTCTCTGACCTCTCTGATGAGTTTTGTTGTTGTTGGTCTGTCTACTTGTGTATGTTTTGCTGACCGAGACAGTGTCTGAGTTTCTCTATGTTCAGCCTTAAAAGGGCCATTGGGACATTGAGCTGAAGTTTACACTCAACTCTTTGAGTGCCAAGGAACGCATCATACATTCATAGGTTCCTATCTAGAAGCCCAATAAACGCATGATGCGCCAATTTTATTACTTTATTTACTAACCCCTGGGCCTGTGATGCTAAACACCCTGGGACTCAAAGAGTTAAGCTGCCTTGCAGTCCAACACATCCAGCCCCTAATTAGTTGTCTTTTATGTCAAGCAGGTGAGTGGGTAGTTGCTCTGTTCTGTTTTACCCAAAAATGGGACACTGGAATACACATGGAGATAAATTAGTTAAACTAAAAGCTTTCTTGAAAATAGTTACTTTTGCCTGGTACCGAAAAAAAAAAAAAAGTTAAAAGCCCAACCACCTGTACATAAGTACACTTGTAAATGATAGTAACATTTTCTGACTGTTGTAATGTGCAAAACGCAACATCTGTATATCTTTCAGCTGTGCCCAAATGTACATGAAGAAGTTGAAGTGATAATTCCAACCGGAGCTGGAGGCAATGTGACAGGTATATTGTGGGGAAGGTGAACGATGCTTGTTTTATATGCGACCATGAGACTGATCTCTACACAATGCAGCATTTTCATCTAATAAATAAATGATAATTTTATTCTTATAGCACAGTTTCTCTGTTTTTGGGGTTTGATTTGTGATTTCTAAAAAGATTTTTTTTTTCTAGATTCTTTTAACTTTATTTTAAAAAACATTTCCTCATCCTCTCCTAGATAGCAGCGTGAAAGATTGACATCCAGTGACTTAGAGAATCACTATTATTACTATTCATTCATGAAGACAACAGGAGTAAATCCGAGAAACCTGTTCAGCCAGATAACACAGTTATAATGGGGCACCTTATTGATGGCACCCCACTTCAAGACATGGAGTCGTACACCTATTTGGGCAGTAATGTAGATAAAGATGGGGGAACTGATAGGGATATTAAAATAAGAATACAAAAGGCAAGAGGAGCTTTCAAAGCACTAGGGAATTTGTGGAGGTGAAAAGAAATTAAAAGAAATACTACACTTAACATGTTTAATTCTAATGTCAAATCAGTACTTTTGTATGGGGCGGAAACATGGAGAACAATTAAGGCAATTACTAATAAATTACAGACATTTATTAACTGGTGCCAGCGCAGAATAGAGAGAATTAAATTGTATGATAGAATAACTAATGTAGAGCTTTTTGCGAGAACTAATCTCCAATGGACCAAGAGGTGAGGAAAAGACGCTGGCGTTGGATAGGACACACATTGAGAAAACCTGAGAAAGCATAACTAGAATGTCTTTGCATTGGAACCCACAGGGCATAGGAATAAAGGAAGGCCAAAAAACACATGGAGAAGAGAGCTGGAGAATGAAGTTAGAAAGATGGGGAGGACATGGGGAGAGCTCCATGCAAAAGCGAAGGATAGAACGACTTGGCGTGAGTTCGTTGAGGGCTCCATTCGAGAATAGAAAGACAGAAGAAGAAGAAGACCTTATTGTTACAATATATCCTACTGTCCAATGTGTGTGGGTTATTTATTTAAATATCCTGTAGATTCAGTCATCTTCCTCACATGGTAGCAATAGGCCATTATTTTTAGGTTCCACACAGTAGACCGCAGCCATATGTGCAAGAAATTCAAGATCGAGGACTCAGAACTTCGCCCATATATAGTTAGTTAGTGGACGGATTATCCTCACTGCACATTGAACCATTCGGTCCATAAATGCTTGTATCCTCTCCTCAGTAAATCCTGCAGTGTTTAGGGGCTAACACACCAGTTCTGTGTTAGTTTCCTATTCACTTTGGCTTTCTGCATAGTGCTCTTGTCTGGCCACACCCCTTTTAACTTGCTGTTCTTGCAATCTTCTCATGGTTGCTAATTCACATGTACTTAGTTCTTGCAAACGTCTTAATTTTCAAAGAGCATACAGTATAGCAACCTAGTCCATGGCTTGTCTACCCTTCACAGTAGCCTTACCTGCAAGCCTGTCAGCTTGCTTATTTCCTTGCACACCTGCATACCCTGGCATGAAATGAAACTGATCAGTATTGGTAAATACACATGCTGAAAGACAAAATCAAGGATGATTTTGCACTGATGCACAAATTCTGTAGCACTGGCAAAAATTTAGGGGAAAAGAAAAAACTGCTGGTTTACATCCTGGCACAGATCATTATGTGTAACATGAACACTGTCAATCTGTTACATGAAAATGTAGCGATTAAAAAGAAAACAACTGTCTGCTGCCATTGTTGACCCACATCTCACAGGCACCACAAAATACTGAACATGTGCTTCAGACATGATCTCTGCAGTAGAGAGGTCCCAATTCTGTCCAGTTAACATTTTTTGATGTACACCAAGCTGTATGGATCAGTGTAGGGCAACATTCATAAAGGCCTGTGGCCTTCTCATCTAAAAACTACTGGCAGTGAGAATAAAAAGAAGAGGAGGAAGATCTACAATATAATGATAATTTTATTGTTCATTTATGACTTATTACTTTGATTTATATTTTAGCCGGCCTGATTGCTAGAACTATGGGGCTTCCAGTCAGATTTGTCTGTGCTGTTAATCATAACAACGTGATGTCACATATGATGGAAACAGGGAAATGCCAGTTTGGCTCTATTCAAGTGACTCTATCACCGGCCATGGACATTCAGGTCAGAACCAGCTTCTTGTAGTTAGCTTTTCATTCTGCCCTCTCTCTCCCAATAGAGCATAAGCCAATCTGTATCTGTGCCTTAGGTTTTGCAAACACTGTTTGCAATTATGAGATACCCAGTTCAATTCTTACTGCAGTCGAATTGGTGGCAGATTGCTTTGCATTGATTTTGACAATGCTATAGAGAGCCGACTGTACTGAACATAAAATTGTCTATTACAACAGAACAGCAAGCAAATACTGGGGTTGGCTCTGCAATGTTCTTTAAAAAAATTATACAATTAACTTGAAGAGCATATGAGCATAGTTGCTAACACAATTACTTATCACTTCAGTGGCCAGTGGTTTCAAGGTTTCACATGAGATATCAAATTGAAGAAATAATTAATATGCAAATTCATCAGTGCATTACTTTCAAATGTCAATATACACATATTTCTTCTTTTTCGTGGCTTCCACTGGCTGTAAACTCTAGCAAAAAGTTCTGGTTGTTCATCCAGTCCTGGAGTTTGGTCTTGATCCAGAATTTCAATTCTGCATGCACATCTGTTTTATAGATCTAGCTTATTTAACTATTGGTTCCTTGCCTCTCAGTCAGATGATGCACTCTGACTTTTGAAGAAAGACACCTAATAAGTCACCTCCTAGGACATTCTATTCATTGTTCCCAGTAAATGAGGCCCAGGAACCCACATAGGGAGTGGTTAGAGGTGAGTAAGGAACATTTGTGTAAATGGAACACCCCTAACTAGTTGCCTCCTATGACATGATTTTTAGGGGGCAGTGGATCTGTTCTTTGTTCCTCCTAACTGGGGCCCTGGAATCCACAGGAGGAGTCATAAGAGGTGAGTAAGAAGGACCGACTACCTTATGCCATTAAAAAAAAAAAAAAACTCCAGCTGTCAAATTCAGACAATGATAAAAATGTCTATAAAAGCTCTAGAACGACTTCACTGTGGGTCTAAGCTCCACTTAGAGTAGAAAAATAAAAGAACCCTTCAGTAGATTAGAACAGGACAATGCAGACAGCAATAGCATCATCAATAGTATACTAGAATAAATTAAAAGAATGAACAATACTAAAAACTACATTTTTTTAAATTTCTGAGATTTTTATAAATAATTATTGTTGAAATGAAATTAAGATGGAAGACATAATTTTAACAATTTTTGTCTGCTTACTTCTAAAGTTAGCAACATCTAATGAAGTGTCACACATTTTTAAATCTCTAAACTGAAGAATTTAACAGTTAAAACTTATGAAAACAAAAGGAGTTTTCATACAAAATGACTGATGAAACTTTTTTTATCATTTGAATTTACAGTTTGGCTATAACTTAGAAAGAATCTGGCACATGTGCAGCAATGGTGACAGTGCCACAGTAAAGGAGATTATGTCACAGGTTGATCAGAATGAAGTCAATATTCCACCGAGCATTTTAAATGCGGTATGTTTATTTTACATTATCATTTCTTGTGCCTAAAAAAGGAATGAAACATGGATTCAGGGAAAGATATAACTTAATACTTGTATGTTTCACAATTAGCCACCACTTTTGGAGGCCTTATACTTTTAGAAATTTGTGTGGGTCTGTTATCTGTGTCATAAAGAATTGTAACATGGTCAGAGAGCACTTATCACAAAGTGTTTATTACAGTAGCACTGAAAAAAAAACATGCCAGTACTGCATAATTTGATGTACCGCCAGAAAAAAACAAAAAAATACCTGAACCAATTGTCATTAATTGTGTGGTAGGGTCAGCTCCTTTACATCTCAGACAGAACGGTTCCTGTCACCCGTTTTATGTTTGATCATCCTGGAAGTTTTTTTAAAATTACCATTTTGATGAAAGTTCTAATTCATAACCATCAGCCAGCAGGCTTTCGTTACACATATATGCATGCATGCGCACACACACAATATTGAGATATCAACTTTACACAAATGGATTCTATATGTTTTTTAAAACCAGATGAAGTCTGCAATAGAAGTGTATGTGGTGTCAGGAGATGAGGAGATCAAGGCAACAATCAGAAGATGCTGGACAGAGAACGAGTACAACATATGTCCTCACACAGCTGTAGGAGTCTCGTACTGGTACTCACAGCATGACAGAGGGTGGGTGTGCTTTACTTCACCATTTTATGACTTTTGTAATTAAGCAGAATCAGGTTATGTTATTAATGAGTCAAGTTAACAACCAACCTCATAGCACTCAGGACATTACCATAAGCACTCCATCCCCATCTTCAGCAGTCTGTGTTCTAGTTCTGATTGTATCATTAGCAGTCTGATTGATTGTTGTCGGTCTTGACTCTTTCCTGAGTGTTGTGTATTGGTCAGATCTCTTTGTAGTTTCCCAGTGCACCACTCTTTTCATACGATGATGTTCTCTTTGTGCCTCTGCACTGTCTATGTCATCTTGAGTCATCATGTTTAAACAAAAAATGTGGCTTTTATTTTCCTAATAACCATCTGAAAGGAAGAATTGCAATATGATTTGTCAGCTTTGAACACTTCTTCTTCTTACAGTCCATGTTGTGTGGCATTTGTAGTCATTCTATCCAAAATCTTCTGTCTCATGTACTTTCAATCAACTCTAGCACAGATGATCTTCTATGCCATGATATCAGACTGTCCAGCATCTGTTATCTCAGTCTCCCTCTGTCTCTCCTCCACTCCAGCTTTCCTATATAACCCGATGTACTCCAGTTTTCTCCTTCTCATCACATGATCAAAGAATGTAGATTGTCTCTTTATGAAGTGGTCAATCAGTTCTCTTCGTGAGTCAGTTTCTTTCAAGATGTCTTTATTACTCTTTTTATCTGTCCGGGGTATTCTCGTCATTCGTCTATAAAACCACATCTCCGCAGTTCCAAATTATGTTTTTACTAAGTAAAAAACACTAAAGACATTATAGACACTTTACACCTTTATGGCATGACAGTAGCCAGTGCCATGGATCACATGGATCACAGACTGTTCCTCCTCAGGTCGCTTAGTTACAGAAATAGTTTATGATGATGATGATGCACTATATGTATATAGTAAATTATTGATTGACAGCATGAACAAAGAAAGCAAAGAAGAGTAACACTGTAGCCTACCATGCATGTCTTAGGAGGCTACTGAGCAGTGTTGGTGTGAGACCAGCTACCCAATCCCGTAGGAAACTCTAGCTGGAAAACCCAGCCATTTGTTTATTTTTTCATACAGTTTCTATGACCTAGAGGTTTCCCAGCTATTTCCCGTATTTTTCCATGTAAAAGATGATATATTTTCCCAAATTTTTCAAAGATTTAAATAGCAGGTTGTCTTATGCACGGAATGTTAAATATATAAATAAATACATACTATTTGTTTTTTGCCACCAGTCTCTCTTGACTATTGGCCTTATGACAAACCTTTGTATGGTACTACCCCTCACCAGCCCCAGCTGTGGATATTGTTCCTTCCACCCAGTTCCCTCAGCCACCACGCTGGCTACTGGACACCCCCCACCACCCCCACTTCCCCCCCCCTTTTTTTCCTATTAACTACCATATTACTGTCACTTTGGCCCTCTATAGGGGACAGCTTTGAACACTAGTTAGTTCTTGACTCTGTGCTTCTGTGAATGTGACATTGTAATCTATGCTGGCTGTAAAACTCTCCTTATACTCTATGTCATTGCAATGCTGACTAGCCCTCCCCCCTCATATTACCTAACATAATTACAATACTAAATATGTCAACAAAGTTGTTCTATTTGATGTTTAAATATAAAGTATTGAATATACTGGTGTTTTGAATATTTAATAACCATAATAAACATCACAGTAGCAAAAAGTACGGAATGCCTACAGAACCACCTAAATCAAATTAGCAACAAAGGGGAGGAATATAATATGAAAATAAACACTACGAAGACAGAGACAATGATGATAGGAAGACAGAAAGACAATTTAGAAATAAAATTAAAAAACAACCCCTTAAGACAAACAGAGGAATTTAAGTATTTAGAAGCAATTTTCACATCCGCCGGGAAGCTGGACAGAGAAATTAGCTCGAGATGTGCCAAAGCTAATCAAGTAATGGGACAACTATCTTCCCTGTTGACACACAAGCAGATACTCTGGAGTATCAAAGTGAATCTCATTAGAACTATTTTTTGGCCAAGGCTATGCTATCAGTGTCAGACATGGACACTTACATCCTCCATTGAACGTAAAATTGTGACAACAGAGATGAAATGCCTTAGAAGAGCTGCAGGAGTTTCAAGAAAAGACAGAATACGAAATCAGATGAATGCTAGGAATCAAGCCAGTCTTACAAGTCATCAAAGAACACCAAATGAAGTGGTTTGGACACCTAACAAGAATGCCCTGGTACTATCTGCCACAGCGAGCCACACTAAAACGTTACAACGGGTATAGAGCCAGTGGAAGACCTCCAAACAGAAATGAAGATCAGTCTTAAAAGTGTTCTTGACAGAGCTCATCAACGAATGTTACATCTCCCCCCAACACTTCACTGAGGTACAAGGTGAAAGAGAAGAAGAAGAAGAGAATAAACATCAAAGTTGTTCTGGTTGGTGTTTAAAATATTTATTTTTTAATTTTTGGCTTAAAAAAAAGTAGAGTGCATATTTTCATAAACTGAAAAATACTGTATTTCTTTATGTGACCTACTACACAATGGAACTAACTAAACATATCTCTTCTTTAATGTTTGTTTTATACTAGACATGGCATCACATTCTGTTGTGTCTGAGGGTTTGTTGTTTGACCAGGGCGTGGTTAATATATATTTCTGTAATCTTGGTGCTTTTTCAGTGGTTAGGTAAAATTCTGTCAGTATTCTATAGTTGTTAGTTCAGATTAAGATACATCTGGCCAATGATGACACCTTGTTTTCAAGTGTTGGAGCTGGTCTTGAGTTGAAGTACACATGTTTCCACAGTGAGGCACCATTGCCATTTGGAGACTACATTTTCATGTCCTGGTGTGGTACCTATAGCTTTTGATTTTTATGGTGTTTAGTGTGTCTCCCACTTCGGCTATCTTCCGAATAACGGTCCCAAATTATTGAGGCAGAAAATATACACTAACAGAGCCTCAGTCACGTGTCAATTGCGCACTTCCAGCCACTTCAATTGCGCACTTCTGGCGACTTGCGCCACCACCAAGAGTATCCCCCAAGCTGCTCACGCGGCGTGTATTGGGGATAAACTAGATGGCTGGGACTCTCGAGCAGCAGCTACCACATTTCATGCAGCTGCTTTCATTTTATTAGTTCGTGAGTCCCAGTCATATAGTTTAGCCCCAATCCACGCAGCGTGAGCGGGGATACTCTCGGCGGTGGCGGTATAGTCCCCGGAAGTATGCAATTTGGCGATGGCAGTCTAGTCCCCGGAAGTGCGCAATTGACACGTGACTGAGGCTCTGTTAGGGTATATTTTCTGCCTCGATAATTTGGGACCGTTATTCGGAAGATAGCTCCCACTTCTGTTTTTTTCTGTGAATGCCTGTCAGTACATGTTAATTTGTTTATCATACCGTTTCTGAGACCTCAAGGGTTCCCCAGCTCTTTTTTTCTGCTTCTTTTTCTTCTAGTCCTTGCTGTGTTCCATTAGTAGTTATGTCTGTCCACAGCCTTCTGTCTCATGTACTTTCAGTCAGTTCTGACACAGATGATCTTCCATGCCATAATGTCACACTATCCAGTGACTTCTCTCTCGGTCTCCCTTTGCCTCTTTTTACCTCCAACTTTCCCACCATCACGATGTACTCTACTTTTCTTTTTCTCATAATGTGACCACAGAATGCAGATTGTCTCCTTCTATTGTCTACGATCAGCTCTCTTTCTGAGTCAGTTTCTTCCAAGATAGCTTCACTACTCTTTCTATCTGTCCAAAATGTTCTCATTCATCTGTTTATTTCTATCTGTTATAAACTAGTTGTGAACACATTTACAGAGGACATGAAATGATATCCTCATGCTAGAGACTATGTTTACTGACAAAAATTAAATCTAAGAATTATTTCTTTTACAGATTAACAAATGGTGTGCCATCAGTTGTCTTGGCCACAGCTTCTCCCTTGAAGTTTCCTGAAGCCATTAAAGCCTCAGGTGTTCCTGTGCCAGCCTCAGACAACATCCAGAGCTTGTTCTCAAAACCAACACATTATGTTGACCTTGAACTTGGTCAGAACTGGACAGAAATCATCAAGGCCAAAATTGAAAACATTACAGCTTCACTGAAACAAGCTGTTTAATGTTTTAGAATGCATGTCATAGTAAATGTATATTATGTAAATGTATATAATTGAAATATTAGGATGTAATAGGTAGTAAAATGTGTTGCTTTTAAAGTGTATATGTTGTTTAATTTAGTTTTAATTTATAATCATCTATTTATTATACAAGAATACCTACACAGAATTATTCTTGTATTTCAAGTATATTAATTTTAATATGGCAGAATAGAATGCAGCTAAAACTGCTTCTAACAGAAAGGAAGCTAACTTTGGATGACATTTAGTATTACTATTCATTGTTATGCCCCCTTTCTGACCTACTTGCTGTTTTTTGCCAAATTTTCTTTCAGGAAATAATATTTCAGTTTATACTGTTACAGCTCACACGTGGTAAGATTTCCACAAAACCGCCATAAAAGCTGTCATCATCACATAATTTATGCAGTACGAATTTTATACTTTGTTGAACACTGGCAAAGTAAAATGACACCACAATTTCTTTTGTTTGCAATAACACAAGTGCAACTCATTTATTTATGCATATTTTTTTTTTAAAACAATATTTTCTTTCTTCACTTTCTCTATGGCACTGTTAGCAAGAAATCACATGTGCAAGTCATATTTTGTACCTGGTTCGCTTCCAGCTGTAGGAGATTTGGCAGAAGAGTGCCTTGCATTGATTTTAACAGAGCTACTGACCATTCAGAAGCAGTGGCAAACTATTGAAAATAAAATTACCTAGTAAAACCATAACAGCCAACAAATGCTGAGGTTGGTTCTGCAACATCCTGCTAAGGAAATGCAGTTAACAGTAACTTTTAATGCAAATAAATGACCAGGCAGGTTGAAATGCTAAGAAAACAAGCCATCTTTTGTGTATTTAGTGTTTGTAAGTGCAATAAGTGGGTTGTACTTACTCGTTGTCTAGATGATGATATATGTCGTGAATGCTAAAGCGCACATTCTACGTTGACATAACTGGGACAAGCCGACACCGACTTAAGTACGATACATCTGTTTATTGACATCTTCACACTTACATGGTTATCCAGTCCTTGTCCTAGTAAACAGCTTTCACACTCCACATCACGCAGACTTCAACATGCTGATTCCTCATGCAGTCACTGACCAGAGTTTTCAAAGATGCATCTGGTTCATTGATGGTATACAGACTGGCCTGGCTGGTCTTGGCTTCAAACGTCGTCGTCTTGTTCTCCTTTTACGTCAAGCAATCTCACGTTGACATTCTTACACTCAGTCTCCCGTCCTTCCGCTCCGACAGTTCAACACATACTAACTTGATCAAAATGGAGTCTGAACTTATTCCACGGGTTAATTTTACGTGGCAACACGTGGTGGTCCTTTACTTCCATGTGGCGACCTGTGGTCGCGTCATCGTGTTACATGTGATAACTCGTCATCATAACCTATCTTGAAAACCTCGTTTAATCCTAATCTCTGGAATATCTCGGTATTTGAGTTAACCTTGAGCCTTCCCCCTCAACCTTCCTAATCTGGGTGTAAATATCCCCCATTACAGTGAGTATATACACTTGTGATACTGAATACATTTGATTTTTTTAAATGTCCTTATCAGATTTCATGTGTAAGAGATTTCTCTGACAGGTATAACCCTGTTGCCTGTCCAGATGGTCAGGGGAACCAGGTTGCTGTAGGACCAGGTTGCAGTTGAACTAGGATGCAGCAGAACTAGGATGCAGCAGAACAAGGTTGCAGTAGAACTAAGATGCAGCAGAACAAGGTTGCAGTAGAACTAGGATGCAGCAGAACCAGGTTGCAGTAGAACTAGGATGCAGCAGAACCAGGTTGCAGTAGAACTAGGATGCAGCAGAACCAGGTTGCAGTAGAACTAGGATGCAGCAGAACCAGGTTGCAGTAGAACTAGGATGCAGCAGAACCAGGTTGCAGTAGAACTAGGATGCAGCAGAACTATGATGCAGCGGAACAAGGTTGCAGTAGAACTAGGATGCAGCAGAATCAGGCTGTAGTTGAACTAGGATGCAGCAGAACCAGGTTGCAGTAGAACTAGGATGCAGCAGAACCAGGTTGCAGTTGAACTAGGATATAGCAGAACTAAATTGCAGCAGAATCAGATTGCAATAGAACCAGACTGTGCAGAACCAGATTGCAGAAAATGTTCATCCATTCGTCCATCACAAGTGATGAGGACCGCTCTTTCTTTCATCCGTCTTGAAACTGCAGTTGACCGATTTTGAGTCCAAAGGTGACTTATAAGTCCAGTACGTGCCCGGAAGAGTCAAGGGCAGTGAGGGCAAGGCACAGTGTCTGAAGACAAAGGACCTGTTTGGAGTTTCTTTCTGGCCTGTCTTCGCAGTTCAGCTGCTCTTGTTCTAGATGCACAGTTTCGGATGTATGTCCGCTATAAAGTCCGGTCCTGTGCTGCAGCCTCCCAGGTGTCAGGATTTATACTGAAGGTTTTCAATGATGCCTTTAGTGTGTCCTTAAAGCGCTTTTTCTGGCCACCATGTTGACCTTCATCTATCTCACCATAGAAGATATTTTTTGAGATCCGATGGTCGGGCATTTGAACAATATGGCCAGCCCATCGAATCTGTGACTGCATCAGGATGGTATTGATGTTGGAAATGCCAACCTTGTCCAGTACGACAGTGTCCAGACCATGTCTTGCCACTTAATGTTCAATATCTTTCTCAGACAGACTGTATGGAAGTGGTTGAGTTTTTTTGGCCTGACGTCTGTATACAGTCCAAGTTTCACAGGCCTACAGTAGCACTGGAAGCACTGCAGCTCTCGATACCTTCATAGAATGTGACAGCATTTAAAATGATGTATACTAAAAGAGAAACATGCACGAGCTCGACACACACACATTTACGCACGCATGCACGCACGTACGAGCACACACACACACACACGGACGTACATAAATGTATATTTATATATTGTGAAACAACAGTGACAGTGTGACATATAAATTGTATTTTGGTTTTGTCTTAAAATTTAATTTTTTGATTATCATGTGTAAAGAAACGTGTACACTTTACAAAGAACCAGTTTTTCCCCATGTTTACTTTTGATCATGTTAATAAATAATGTGTTTAATTTAATGCAAACATGGCTGCATCATCTTTGACTTAATTGCATGCTGGCTTGTATTCATGCATGCATGTATGAAGGTGAACTTTGGGTAATGGAGGGTGCAAAAAAAAGGGCAGTGGGGTGTTGAGTGCATTTGTATATGTTTGTGAGAGAGAGAGAGAGAGAAAGAGAGAGAGAGAGAGAGAGAGAGAGAGAGAGAGAGAGAGAGAGAGAGAGAGAGAGAGAGAGAGAGGAGGCTACAGTTAAGAATATTAGGCAGTTGATCATCATTACTAAAACTTGACACAGATCAAGTGAACCGATACTGAACTGATTTGTGTATGACAAGAAAGAATCTATCAAAGTAGTCAGGCAGCTCACTATAACATAATATAATAATATAAACTTCAAGTAATGCTACCCTCTTCTCAGTCTTGTCAATTGTCCGAGGATCTATGAAAAGACTGAGCACCAGTGCCATTTCTTGAAGCAGTGTGTTATAATTACAGCTACAAGCCTGAAACTAACGATGCTCAAATGGTTTTATTTTAGCTACATACACGCAAGAACACGACAAGAATCTTTGTGTCATTTAATAAGTTTTTTCCGTACATTTTTCATCATAATTATCGGACCAGTTAGTCTGAAAACCGATGCTGATGTCAGATCATAGCCATCACTATTTTATATTCTTAAAACCGCCTTCAGCTCTTCATCTTTGTATTTGCGTTTACCGGCTGTAAACTCAGCTTAGTAGTAGTAGTACATTTTACCCCACTAGGACATCACACAAGCGATAAACACCTGATGACACAAAGTACCACCATGTGGATGAGGATCAACGTGGAGAGGACCCAGAAACTGCGTTCAAACAATTGGCCATATTTATCGCCTGCCTTTCTTGCGGCCCCTGGCAAAAGCTAGGGTGGGGCTTCAAATAACAAAAAATTTCATCCTAATCAGGATGAAACTGGATTAGTTCAAACTCAGCGGAAAGTTCTGATTGTTCGTCTACTTCTGGACTTTAATTTTATTCCAGTACTTGAGTTTTGCATGCACATCTGTTTTACATTTCTGGCTATATTTATGGAGGCTGCTGCTTCCTCAACTCTCAGAAAGATGCACTTCTACTTTGAAGAACACTTCCTAATTTTACAACATGCTTGTTACGAAGCGGTGGGCCAATTCTTTTCCCCTCCGCAAAGGTGCCTTGGAATACAAATGGGTTAAGCTCTCCATAGTTTTGTCTCTCAACCTCTGTTCCTGCTTGTTTGGGATACATAAAAAAAAAAAAAAAGAATGTTATCATCTTTGTCATTTTCTCTACAGTACTGTTAGTAACAAAACACATCTGCAAGTTTCTTTTTTGGTCCAAGCCATTATAATCATTTTCATAAGACATTCATTAATCTGTTTAACAGCCGGCCTAATCATACTCTTTCTGAGTTGAATAAGATAGTCTCCCCTGCCGTCAATATTCACAGTAGTGCTTTACGATTACACCTTTGTCAGTCAGTTCCAGTTATTTGGATAAATAAGTGACCTGCTCTGCTATGATGCATAACATTCCACAAAATCCAAGGAGTGCTCTGTCTCTAAAGAGACATTTGCGAGATTATAATGCTTTCCATTCTGTCCCTCTTGGAAGTACTGTAAAATAATTATAATTAAATTGCTAGTCATTACTGTAAAATACATGAAAGTGCGGCTCAGTAATTGTTAATATATTTTTTTTAGACATAAGTTACTTTTTTCGTCCTTTTTAGGACGAATTTTTTTGTCATTTGAAGCCCTACACTGGCTTTTGCCAGGGGCCGCAATATAGGCAGGCCATATATATGGCCAAATGTCTGAACGCGGTTTCTGGGACCTCCTCATCCACATGGTGGCACTTTGTGTCATCGGGTGTTTATCGCTTGTGTGATGTCCTGGTGGGGTAGAAATTCAGTTCAGTTCAATATATTTTTTTGTTTATGTTCCCAATTTAGAGCGAAAAAATAATAGACCCACTGTCTCTTTAATAAGCATGTTGTAAGTAAAGAAGAGTAAGGTACCCTTTTCCACCCCTTAGGCGTATTGGGCATATAGGGCTAGACGTATATTTTATAGACTAATCTGCAGTCGGTGGATGATGTCAAGCATGTTTTAAGAGGCTACTGATTAATTAAAACAAAAATCCTTGTCTATCAGGCTTGTGTTCTCAGCACTCTGCTTTATGGCAGTGAAACTTGGTCAACCTATTTGCACCAAGAGAGACGACTTAATAGCTTTCACATGCGATGCCTAAGAAGAATACTTGGCATTAAGTGGCAGGACAAAATCACAAACACTGAGGTGCTGGAAAGAACAGGTACTACAACAGTCTTTTCCATGCTCAGTCTACGAAGGCTCAGGTGGCTGGGTCACACCTGGAGAATGGAGGATGGCAGAGTCCCAAAGGACATCCTTTATGGTGAATTGAAGACAGGAAGATGTCGAGGCCGACCTCTACTACGTTATAAAGATGTATGCAAGCGAGACATGAATGATACAGGTAGTGAGGTGGACTCATGGGAACAAAATGCCATGGACCGTGTTGTGTGGAAAGGGCATATCAGGAAGGAAATGAGACTGAAGGAAGAAATGATTGCAGAAAGGATGAGAGCTGAGCGTCTGAAAAGAAACGAAGTAAATACAAATGTTGTTAACAATGGTCCTGAAATCCCATGCTATCATTGTGGAAGACATTTCTTGACACAGGCGGGTCTTGCTAGTCACACTCGCCATCGCCATGGGCTGTGAGTCTCATGCCTCCTCATAGCGCAATATAACACTATCGTCTGGAAAGACAGAGAGGTGCCAATGATGGATAGGACTGTTTCCGTTAAAGTCGAAGTGCATATGCCTGAGAGGCGAGTAACTAAACAGTCTGCATATAAATAAGAAAGATTTGTAAAACGGGTCTGCACAGATACTTAGGTTCTGTAACAAAACCAAAGTTCAGAAGTGGACGAACAGCGAGAACATTCTGAAGGAATTTTCATTTGTTGGACATGAAGAAGAACATATCTGATGTTATTTCAAGGGTCCCGTTAGTTTTTCACCAGTTAAACAAATACTGCTTTTTCCCTGGGAACTCTCCACAAATGGACTAAAAAAAAAAGTACTGGTGCTCATTTTTTTTTCTTCTTTTACTGTCTCACTGATACCAGGTTGTAGCCCAGAGTTTTTGTATTTGTCGTACGCTTCTCGGGTGACTTGGCTGAGTGATTTGTTTATCTTTTGTAGATTTTAGCTACACCATTTATCCATCTCTTTCTTAGTCGCCCTCCTCTCAGTTTTCTCCCAGATATTAAACTGTAAAAAGTCTCACATGCAGTCTGGATCTGGCTATATTCTCACTAGATGGCTGAACCATTTCGTTTTTTGTCTGTCAATATAATCCGAACATGGTCTTATTTGTAACCCTGTCTCGTCTAGTGTTGGGACCTTGCGGAGACAGCGCATTTACCATGTAGTTTTCTTCTGTTTTAGTGCCCTGTTCGTTGACGATTTGAAGATAACCACCCCCCCCCCCCCCCCGCAAAAAAGTGCCGGTACCTCTCAGAAAGACAGTTTTGAAAATAAATGCCTTAGAAGAATACTAAATTTCAAATGGTCAGATTTCCGAACAAATACACAAATAAGGCAAGAATCCAGGCAAGAGTATGTGTCTAATTTTATACGAAAACGCCGCTGGAACTATGTCGGCCACGCCCTTAGAATGGATAAATCAAGACTTCCTTACCAAGCCCTCATTTGGACACCACAGGGAAAAGATCTCGTGGAAGACCAAGGGAAACCCTACGTAGAACTATCATCAGGGAAGGCTCGCTCATGGGCCACTCAAACATCCAAGACCTACAACGGATTGCAACGAACCGCCATGCATGGAGAGTCATGATCTCTGCCCTATGTGCCGCACTCGACACAAGAGGAAAGACTAACTAACTAACTAACTAACCTCTCATAAATGTTCTGAATGTTCCAGGTTCTCTCGTGTGCTCATTTTTTTTTTAAATCTCAAATTCTTTGCTTTAGATAAGCGGCAATAAGCACATGTAAGAGATGGAATAAGGCACACACGTTTAGAAGTGTACCTGTTTGTATACAAGCGCACCTATCGTTGACATTCTGCTGCAAGAGTGCCCAGCATATACAGTGCAGATCTGGACTGACATTTGTTTTAAGTTAAGCAAAAATAGATACAAATATCCTGGCTGACGTTCTGGTTATCCCCTCTGGGCTGCTACTTAAAGTTTTACCATACTATACTTATATTGAAGAATTTCAACCTGGATGGTAGACCGACAAGGCAGAGCCCCTAAAAACGCTACTTGATGGAAATGTCAAAGATAAGAGAGGACGAGATGGATAACGATACAAGTGTGAGGACAACATGAAGAAATAGACGAACAACAGTCTGAGAGAGCGTGCACCCATGATAAGAGACTGAGCGTGTTGAAGACCCTTTGCAGCCAGCTTTGACTGTGGAGACGGCACCAGTTTGATTGACATTGAAAATGTATGCTGAGTTGTTCAGTACTAAAAGAGTTTCAGCATAATCAGGTTGACGTCTGCATGTGTACACAGAACAGTACCATCACCACATTGACGAATGACAGCACACACCAGTTTGCAAAATACTTGATGATGATGTACTCTAACTGCGCACCACAATTTCCATCAGTATTGTACGAGATATCATAATTCACCAACAAATCTAATGGGATCAAACATGTACACGCTTGCACTACCCCACCAAGCAGCGGCAACTTCCGTTCGCCTGAAGCCAGCCATGCAACAAAGTCGACGTTTGGCGCCAGGACTTAGCAGGAAACTCGGCAGTTTCTGTTGTAAGCCATTCACAGTAAAGATCTCACAGCTGAACCAATTCATGCTGCTTTGAATTCTGGTCATGCTTCCAGGAGGATTCAAAAAGGATTCTCGCGTTTGGCTCCACAAGAATGCTAACATGTACCAGAAGAAAGCACTGACCACTGACTACTGCAACGTCCATCTTAGCGATGACGCTTACGACCACACACCTGAGGATGCTTTTGTCAATCCTTCGCCATATATCACTGACGAACATGGGCAGGTCTTCAAGAAGGATAGTCGAACTTGGCTGCACAAGGTACCTATTTTCTCCTTTCATTTACCGGTGTCTTGTGTCACTTATCTTTATATAAATATACACACCTGTCGGGGCTGACACATATTATTTTCATATTGGTTTCAGGGCACGCAGGCGTGCAAGTAAATGAGCAAGCTGATCGGCTAGCAGCAAAAGCTGTTGTGGAGGGCAGCCTTATTGGCACACACACACACCCTAGACCGGCTGTTGCCGCAGGCCCTAATATAATCCAACCTATGGGTTGAACGAGATCTCTAGGACCTGTTCCCTGGTGATCTTTATCTGAATGGTGGCACTTTGTGTTACCAGATATTTTCGCTCGGTGAGATGTCCTGGTGGGGTTGAACGTCAATCAATCAGCACCAGGAAACACGGCTAAATAGCTTTCACGTAAGATGACTAAGAATATTGAGTGGCAAAACATGGTCACAAACACTAGGTACTGGAAAGAGCAGGTATCATTTTCTCAAAGCTCTGTCTTAAAATTCTCAGGTGGCTGGGTCACACCTGGAGAATGAAGAATGATAGTCCCCAACAACATTTTCTATGGTAGGGGTTCTCAACCTGACGGTTGCGACCCCTTTTTGTGTGGGTTGAACGACCCTTTCACAGGGATCGTCTAAGACCATCGGAAAGCACATATTCATTGAAGTTTTAAAGAGATATAAGTGTTTGGGAGTGACCACAGCATGAGGGAACTTTATTAAAGGGTCCTGGAATTAGAACAGTTTTGTGTGTGTTTTGTTTTAGATGTGCGTTAAAGCCACTGCTCAATGGTGACTTACAGATGGGTTAAAGATGTCGAGGTCAACCTCTACTACGATATAAAGATGTAAACTAATACAGACTAGTTATGAATGTATCCTTCGAAGTCGGAGTGCATCTGCCTGAGAGGCGATGAACCAAAAGTCTGCAGGCAAATAAGTCATACCTATAAAACGGATGTGCATGCAAAATTCGAGTTCTAAAACAAGACCAATGTTCAGAAAGGAACGAACAACCAGAACATTTCTGTCGAGGTTTGCAGCCAGTGAAATAGAAGAAGAAAGATCAGAAGAAGAAGTATGACAACGGAAACAAGACGCTGGCACACTTGGGCCACTTTATATTAGAACTGTAGCCAAGGGTTTGGCAACATGTATAAAGAATCTCTTTGTGTATATAAGCTGTTCGCCAAGAAAAGCTTCACTAAATTGTTTATCTCTTTTCCTAGACAAGATATAAATGTAGAGATGTTCTTTTCGATGTGGTCAGTCGTTATCTTACCTATCCTCACTTTTCTAGTAACATATCTTATTTTTTTTAAACTTTGTCAGTTGTTGCCATTTATGTCAGGCCAGCTTAAAATTTCGTGATTCTAATTCTTTTTAATGAAAGCCACTTAATTTTTTAACGTTTTTTTTTCCCACAACAGTCTTCATATAAAAAGCTGGCCAAAGCAATGACAGCTGGAGTTCTGAAAGTGTCATCCATAGCAGGAAAACATTGTAGCAAAAAACGTCAGGTGAGGCGCATGTGATAGATGCGAGATAAATATCTAATGAATCAGGGTGGTTACTTAAACCAATGTTCTTCAGCATGTGATGTGCGGACCGGTGTTGGTCGGCTCACATTTCCTGGTGGTCAGCCAAAAATGCATGTCCAACAATTAGCTACTAAATCATTTGGGTGCTGTCTTACTACTGGCGAACAAGACTCATCACCCGACACTGTAGATCTTGAAACAAAGGCCATGTCAGTGAAATAAACAAAACAGAAAATAATTTTTACAACAGTAGGTGAATTGTTGATTTCCTTCATTCCAAGACGGTAAAACGATAACATATTTTTATCTACATTCATTATGTTTTCCTCAGTAAATACACCATGATGATGGAAGATACAGTTTCCAGAAAACATGACAGAGGCAGACATCCACAAGAGTGGACACATGACATTAAAGATGCATTGGCTATGAAAGCACAGAACTGGAGAATTGGCTGGAGAAAAAGAAACTTTCAGGCGCGCCATGAAGAGAGCGACGTTCTGTAAATTACATGCTGACGGATGATGATGATTTATGCTTTAGCTGGCCGAATAGTTAAGAATGCAGGGGTCTCAAGCAGGAGACCCGGGTTCCAATCCTCGGCAAGGTTGTGGGTCTTTTCTCTGCTGGGGAAAAATAAAATCCTAATATGCAGTGACCATGGCGACAGCACGAGCCACGCCGCCCTGTCTCCAGCTCAAAGACCCTGTCGCCTACACAGCAAAAGGGGTAAATACAGACAGTAATGACGGAAAAACGGCAGCTCATCCTAATTGAGCTGACAGTCCCGTATGAGTCGCGTACGGACGAAAATCACATGTATAAGTTCGAGAAATGAACTCAGGTGGGCCCACTCTCGGAAAACGTCTAGGAGCTCGTGGGCCGAAACGTTTGTCGACGAGAAATTACTTCTACTGACGATTGGTAGATCCCTGCTGTACATGCTCCCCCGTGGAGTTTATTCCTGTTTGTTTGTTTTAGTATCCAGAAGCCATGAGTTGTTAACCATTAGGCTCGGTATTATGGATATCGAAACCTTTCGGCCTTGATTCCATTTTAAATACCGTAAATCTGGGAGAAATGTGGCTTTTCTGCCCACCCCCGAGAGTGAACCCGGACCACAAGGAGTTCGTCACTCGCTCACCGCGCAATCCGGTTTAGCCAACTACGCTAGAGAGACAGGCGGAGTTTATTATATTATGTGAAAGAGACGTGTGACCCATAGGATCCGGACCCACAGGTTGAGAACCGCTGATATAGAGGAAGGCAAATGAACAAAACAAATATATATAAGTAGTAACAGATTCTTTTTCCGCCTGTGGCGCATCGAGCATTTGGTCATAGACCCATATTTATTTTTGACAATATGACTGACTGACTTTCTACGCCACCAGGACATCACACAAGCGATAAACACCCAATGACACAAAGTGTCACCATGTGGATGAGGATCGCCGTGGAGAGGTCCCAGAAACCGCGTTCAGACAATTGGCCATATTTATGGCCTGCCTATATTGCGGCCCCTGGAAATAGCCAGAGTGGGGCTTCAAACAAAAAATTTCATCCTAAAATGGACGAAACGATAATACAACAGCATTCTATACTTGTTGTTGTTGTTGACATTATGTTCAGTGGATGAAGTAAAGGAAGATCTTAGCGCCGAAACATTGGTTTTAAAATTTAAAATTCCGACTTCCAGAATTTTCAAGGTAAAGCGAATAATCAAACCAACTGCATACTAATTTATATTTACGTGAAATGTTTGTCATTATACAGCAGAAGTATCTTGTGGTAGCTATTGCATCAGAGGAATGAGCAAATACGGGATACCCAATGTGAAGTGACATCGATCGTGTTAAATTAACATAACCTATAGTACGTTACTTATTTATTTTGTTACAACAATTGATGCCCCTTGTGAACGTATTTTCCAGATCAGGGGAAATATGAATGTGAACGGAGGAGAACTGGGATCTGAGCTGATTGGAACTCGCAGCAGCACTGAAATGATACGCAAACAGAATGTACTCAAAGTGAAGAAGTCAAAAATGGCCGGAGCCACGATAGATGGACGCCTGGTACATCCCCTTGACAGTGTCAAGGAGATGAGCACAAACGGTTAGAGATGATTGTATATGTGACCGTAGAATATTCTGGAAAAAATGCTCTCTACGATTATTTGTGCACATTGAGAGTACACAGTGTTCTGTAAATAATTCTCTTGATGATTAAATGTACGCATAGAGAGTATAGTGTTCGCGAAATAATTATCTAGATGATTAATTGTGCCCACAGAGAGTATAGAGTGTTCGCGAAAAAATTCTCTCTACGATTAATTGTGCCGATAGAGAGTATAGTGTCCGCCAAATATGACTATAAATAAGTGTATGCATGGAGAGTGTTGACTGCTATAGGAACAACTCTGTCAATGTCTGTCTGTCTATGATATGATGTCTACATATTGTCACGAAACGATCTCAGTGATTCCAGAAGTTAGTACTTGTAATAAGTTCTTCTGGTTATTGAGAGACAAGAGACTATGCCCTTAAACCAAATGTTACTTTAAACCGTATGGATTTAAATGTTTCCAGTCCTTAGTCCAGACAAAGCGACTGAACCTTGGGTAATATTACCTAAAACTTTACACTGTAGCTAGGAATTCTATTCTCATGCCAGTGTCAGAATGTTATCTCCTGACCAGACTGTAGAGGCCAGCGAACGGGGAACTTAGCATCACACCTGAGCTGGACCGTAGGTCATAAAGATTACCTAACACAGATTGAGCGGATTCTAGACATAGAGGCGAGGAGAAGTTTAAAGTTTAACACGTCAGTGTAATTCTGGAGAGAACAGGTGTTTGGCAATTAGGAATGTTTTATCTTGATCTGGTCACGTAGGGAACACAATGGCTTCACNTTTGTGTAAATCAACAAACTGGGAATATCATTGTTAGTAAATAAAGCTGTATGTCAAGTTTTAAACTACATAGTTTGTTAAATTCCAAATGTCTGTTCTTACATGTTTAATTAAACTGTTAGGATAGAACACCATTTGGTGGGGGCTCTAATAATATAATAATTCTTTAATTATTCATAATAACACCGGGAGAAGGTAGATGACGGAGGAATCACTTGCCCTGTCTAATAATTCATTAAGTATGATAGACATCTAAAATTCCTTGCCTTCTCTTGTGGGTACCAAGTTCAGCTAATGTTAAAGTACTTAACGAGCCAATATGGCTGTTTTCTTGGGTATCCAGGACTTTGTCTGAGAGCAACATAGCTCAAATTTTAGTTCGTTAATCTGGTGGAGGGAATGTGTTGAGAGGGACATCCCTACTCAACATTATAAACATTAAAAACCACCCGTCACGTCACACATATGTATATGATCTGTCTATGATAAAATGTTAGTTAGTTATTCTACAGATTTTTCTCCTTATATGATAAAGTGTGTGCACGAAGAGTTTACAATGTTAACTAAATAATTACGTCTGTGATTAAGTGTTTTCATGAAGTATGTAAAATGTAAGCTAAATAATTATGTCGGTGATTAAGTGTTCTCATGAAGTATGTAAAATGTAAGCTAAATAATTACGTCTGTGATTAAGTGTTTTCATGAAGTATGTAAAATGAAAGCTAACTAATTATGTCGGCGATTAAGTATGCACATGAAAAGTGTAGAGTGTTGATGAAACAGTTCTGTTTATGATGCAGATATGCACGAAGAATGAAAAACAGGGGTGGCCACCTTTTTTCTGGGTCCCCGGACCAAATTTAGAAATCTAATATAAATATAATATCAAGATTTTCTCGTAACTGCCTGAGTTTGTCTGCAACACGTTCTTCACTGGCAGGATCAAAGATTTGGTGACATCAGATTCTGTTATAAATGTTCAGGTTATCGCTTTTTTGAATGATGATGCTTAGATTATGTTCCCTGCATTTGAAGGTGTATTTTTATGTTATGCTATTATGTAAGCTCAAGGGCCAGATTATACACCACGTTAATTTTTCACCTGTCTCGATTGCTTGGCTGGCCAGTTTTGTCTCGCAGGCTGTAGTTTGCCCACCCCTGGTGTAGAGGGTCCGCGAAATAATTGTGTCTGGGATTTATTCCCCAAGTTAACAATTGTATCCTCAATGTTTCTGTCGGTTGATATTACCTGTCACCTAACATGCTACCTTGCTCTAAAAAATCACCATTAGAACTATATTCTCCGCCTCTTAAAACTGGCTACTAGAACTACAGGCTTGGGAGCGGTTTTTTTTCCTATTAAAAATGTGCCGGTACTCACCACAAAATGTTACATTTTGAATGTTGAATTAAGAATCGACATCACAGCACTCGGGACACCCCCATAAGCGTTCCGTCCCCATCTTCAGCAGCAAGCGAAGAGTTCCATTTACGATGGCACCATTAGCTGTCTGATTGTATATCAATTTCGCCTTTTCCCTGAGTGATGAGTGCTGAGTGCTGAGTGTTGAGTGCTGAGTGCTGAGTGCTGAGTGTTGAGTGCTGAGTGATGAGTGCTGAGTGCTGAGTGATGAGTGATGAGCGTTGAGTGTTGAGTGCTGAGTGTTGAGTGATGAGTGCTGAGTGTTGAGTGATGAGTGTTGAGTGTTGAGTGTTGAGTGTTGAGTGATGAGTGCTGAGTGTTGATTGTTGAGCGCCGGCCAGATCCCCTTGTAACCCCTCGCGGCGCCATTCTTCCCAGACCGTAATGATCTGTCCGTGACTCCGCACTGTTCAATCGCCCCCAAAGAGCCCTAACAACGTCTAGCTTGTCATAGATCAATTCCCCACCAAGCGGTGCAGAACCGGCCAGTCTACCTGCCTGCTCATTTCTAAACACACCGATGTGACCTGGAGAAAATATCCAAAGGATTGCTAACTACCTCTGAAGTGATGCTTGCCACTCTGCACGGAGTTTGCATGTCTCCACCTTTCTCAGCATGCTCTGCGAGTCAGTTACAATCACGGCATGTGTGTACAGCTGATTCTCAAGTTAGCTCAGTACTCACCACAGTGTTTAAACAAGGTGCCGGTAGACACCAAAAAGTGTCTATTTCAGAAGTGCTGGAACAAATAACCGATGTCTAAAAACATCCTAGGTTTGGGTAAATTAAATGGTAATATTGAGTGAAAAAACTGTTTCTATGTAAGGAATAAATGGCGTATGTTTCATTCACAGCACACGTGAAAACACCTGGCGGATCCTATCACAACATGAAATCTGTCAAAACAGGGAGCTGTGAGGTTTCTGCTTATGCCTCGGACTTTTGTATCGTTGGCAAGGCAAGCTATTTAGGACAAATTATCATTTCGGTTTTAAAAACAAAGTAAAGGACTTTTTCTCCCTACTCTTGTAGCGCACCGGGCACATCTCTCAAGACCCATATTTTATTAAATTAATCAGTATTCGACGAGTGTTAAACACTCAGTCAGTTGCCTTTGACCAAACAAACACTGATATGGTTTGGCCATGTAATGAGAATGAATTCAACGATACCGACGACGTGAGCGTACAATATGAAAATAGAAACACCAAAAGGTAGGTGAGGAAAAGTAATTGATTCCTTGAAACCCTACAACATCACAGAATAACAGGCAACCGAGTGTGGTCTAGCTAGGATATGGATCGGCTGGTAATCAGCGACGCCTAGCTGCATAAAACAGACTATAGACACAAGAAAGAAGTTATCTCCACTTCGCATGACATGTCCTGAGGCCAAATCCATGGCGAGTTACTAAGACACGTTTTAAGAACGTTGTGAGCTAAGAAATGACTGTTAAGCTGTAGGGCTATCTAAAGAAGCGCATGCCTAGTGATTCATAATGAGATAGCAATAATGCGATGCAATACACATTACAACATTCTGGACAAAACTGTATAGCAACTGTGTTTACGACAGTCAGCTCTAGCAGTGTTTTCCAACATTTGTGTGTGCCTTACCCCACTTAAGCCTTTCTAAAATTCTTATGCCCTCTATATAATTTAAATCCTAGACGACTCCATTTTCGAAATGGCCCCAATAACAATAAAAATGCTCGCCCCTTTCCTTTTTTAACAATGAAATCGCGCGCCCCTCTCCATGGGGAGAAAAAAAAAAAGGGGGGGGGGGGCATTTTGGGAAACACTGGTCTAGCATGATTTTTCAGGATGCTGGTAATAAACGCCATACTTTAAATATAAGGCCTAGTTGAAATCAGCCAGATGGACGGACGGACGGATTTCGTGCACCAGTTTTAAACAATGACAAATAAATAAAGAACGCGATTGACACTAAAGCTTTATTAAATGACAATATAAATGTTGGATTTTTTTATGCAAAGAAAACATCCTCTGCCAATGGCGTCTTGAAAAGCACATTTTTTTTTTTAAATTTAAACCCGGCCTTATTTTCTGGGAAACACAATTCATCAGTGGGAAATTTAGTTCGTCTCAAATAAATTCCCAACTTCAGGGTTATTTTAAGCAAAGAATTGTCATAAACGGGACAGCGTTAGAACAGTTATTGTTAGTTTCGTTGCACTCTTATTTTTGGGGGGACCAATTTTAAAGCTGGCGAGAACAGCTTCTGTTATAAGAGGTCTAGTTCTGTTGTTGTTTTGTTGCGCCATGTTTATTTGTCTGAAACTGTTTGCTGTACCCAGAGTTTTAGCTTACTGTCCCCAGCTATATATATATATAGATTCTCAAAATGCCACGAACAAAGAAGAGAAGAAATACTGACATTTTTTAAAAGATCTGAACATCAAAGAATATTGGCTAATAAACAGCATCTTGTCTCGGAAGCTGAAATTTTATCAAGCTTCATGGGGGATTTGAAAAAATAGCAGAAGGCATGTTATCAGGAAGAGAGGCACAAGCCTGCCAACACAAAGATGGTCGTAGGATATGTGCCTCCTTGAAAATGAATGTAAAAGAGGTAGAAGAGCTGACGAGAGACCGAGTTTCTTTAAGGCAGGCTGTGATAAGAGCGACGTTCTGCAAAGGACCTACTGTGTGTTGATTATGTCCTTGGGATCTAGTCCTCATTTATGTCCTTGTTGAGTACCCCGATTTCTCCTGCTGTGCAGTCCTTATAAGGGTTGGTCTTATTAAGGTTATAGTTTGAGTCGTGGCTACAGAAATCGATCCAGCCTAAAATCCATTGGTACTTCATCGAAGTAGTCACGGCAATTACAAGAGGAGATATTGGTTTGGATCAAGTGATTATTACATCGGAGTCAATTTATGCTGTCATAGACTATCACAAGAAGTATATGTTTGCTGATATTGATGAGGAGAACACAAGAAATACCCCCCCCCCCCCCCCCACCAGCCCCCTCTTCTTCAGCGGACAGCGCTGGAGATATGTGTAATCTCTCTCTCTCTCTCTTTCTCTCTCTCCCAGTCTCTTTGTCCACGTGCCCATGTCTTATCCTTGTGCAAATAAAGTTTGTTTGTTCTTTCATTCATTATGTCTCTTTCTCTCTCACTCTCATCGTATCTCTATTTCATATAAATAAAGCATTGTCAACTGTCAACACGTCTATTGAGACATGTTTTTAACTAAGCAATAAAAACTTGTTACAGCTGTCTCTCTGTCGTCTACCCGACCAAGTGCTTAAAGCCATTCGCCTCGCACTGTAACGGTGCATCGGCGACCAGGTCGCCCATTGGCTGGCCGGTAGACGACCTTGTCGGGACAGTTTTCGCTTCTGTCTCCTTTGATCGAATCAACACAGCAAGAGTACTTTTCAGGCTGCTTGGTGGTTAGCAATGCTAAGCCATTTTATATGGCGCACATAACCTAGCCACAGTTATAACCTAAAGGTCACTATGTGGGGTGCTGATTGAAAGCAACGATTTTGTTAAAATTATTATTTTGTTGTTTTTGCAAAGTAAGCTAAGCAAAGACTATAAAGGTGAGTGTCTGTGACCGTTGTTGCCAATGCACTTCGTAATTTCGAGGTACCAGCTTCGTTTTCAGTTGCAGACGATTTGGCAGTAGACCGCTTTGGGGTAATTTAGACAGTAGTATGGACAGTTGAACGGTCATAGAGTAATGACAAACTTAACGTAAAATTGTCCAGTAAAATCACAAACCGCAAAATGCCTAGAGCTGGCTCTGCAACGTTCTACACATGATACGCAATCAACTGTCTGACGGTCGAAGCTTCAGTGTCAGACTCCGTCCTTCGATCTACGAGTGCAGGTGTATAAGAGATCTCTGCAAACAGTTGCTGGAGATACAGAGTTTCGACACTTTTGCTCAACGTTCTCGGAGAACGAAATGCTTTGTATTGAGAGACAGCGCAATATGGGAATAACACCCGTGCAAAAAACTCGATACTCATACATTTAAACATCTTTTAAAGATCTTTAATTATCCTTCCCCCTCCCCACTCCCAGAGGAAATCTTCCATCACCATCTCTTTCAGCAGTTCATCTTCATCCGACGACGTTGACAATGTCGATGAAAGCGGTCATCGGAACAAAATTCAACAGTGCGAACTGGGCTCCCCGGTTGAGTTCTGCTCTGACAACGGTGGGTATGGGGTCGAGACCGGTTACAGCAGTAGTCAGCTGGAGATCGCTAGAGATGGACTTCGTCAGCTTGAGAAAGTAATGAAAGAGGTAATGCTGGTTTATAGTCAGCGCTTTTTTCCTTTATTAGACATACTTAACATGAAAGTTGTGTCTCATTTATAATGTGTGTCACCCCAGGGCAGGCGAATTTTTTGTAAAAGTGGGTTGATGTTGACGGGGTATTAAGAGGTGGCCATTTATTAGCAGTGACAAACTATTGAAAATAAAATTGCATAATAGAACCAAAAGAGCCAACGAATGCTTAGGTTGTTTCTGCAAAGTCATGTAAAGGACACGCCACTAATTATTTTGTTGTTGATCCAATCGTTTTATATCTAAGCCCATAACGGTCAGAATTCGATCATAGATGTTCTGCCAACAGTAATGCCACTGTTACTCCTGTTCAGCGGTTATATTATTTTATGTTATGTGTTATTTTATCACAATCGACGTAACTGCACTTTGGGAATTCCATGCGTGCTCAGTCCTCCGATGCAGTAGCCGCCAAAAAGTATTTCTGCCAATTGTTCCGATGAGAGGCGGGTTATAATGTCCCCTATCTCGGCCTCGAAGGTGACATAGACGTGCTTTACTCTCATGTCACGCAATCGTGATAGTGTCAGAGATTCTCCATCCACTAGCCCAGTCCGTACAGCGTTGATGATATCTGTTCTGTCCATGCTTCCTCCCACAGCAGTTAACTTGGGGTGGCTACTTCTGAACCAGATTGAGCATTGCTACCCTACAGCCAGGTTTACGTAACGCATATAAGAATCACGACAAGTAGTACTAGGCGTATGGTGCTGACGCCATTTCTAGTTGACAAAATGGCACCCAAATGAGCTAAGTGGTCAGTATCTCACAGGTTCTTAGTCTCCAGTGATAATTTCTGGTTACCTTTTTCACGCAGCTGGATCCGTCCGGAAACAACGTGGAGCCCAACAGGTAGGATTAATCTAGCATCTGTAGTCCAGAAGACGAGGGCGACAGCCTGCAGTGTAAACAGATTTCTAAACATTCTGATTTGTATTTATTGTTGTTTGTGTTTTTACTGATGTTGTGGTTCATCGTCGTCGTCGTCATCATCATCATCGTCATCGTCATCATTTTCGTCTTGTTGTTGTTGTTGTTGTTGTTGTTCTTTTTATTATTATTATTATTTTTTAAAATTATTATTACTATTATTATTATTAATATTATTCCACTGCTTCTCAAGCTACTGCTTATTCTCCATTTTCTGCCATAAATGTATTAAGAGATGCGTGTTTTTCCTTTTCTTTTTAAATAAGCAAAGCCGCCACAGATCTGAAAGACTGACACTCCGCCGTACCGACGACTCTGCTCACGCCGTGCCACACGATGTTAGTCCAGACACGGTGTCTTCCGAGTCTAAAGTTAGTCTGGATGCGTGTATTAATTTGTCAGACGAACTGTAAGTTTGTCCTTCACTCATAAATTATAAGTAAAGTTTTTCTTTTCTTTTTTCTTCTTCTGTTTTTTCCACTTTCTCCATCGATAATTGTAGAATTAACTCCCGAAGGATCAGAATAAATAGGTACACACTCGTAAGCCCTTTTCAATAGTAAAGCTATTTAATATAGCCCATTTATATTGTAGCACCATAAACCGGTTACAACGTAACCTTTAGTTCAATGTGGGTGGGTCAGGTAAAGTAAATAAAGAAAGGACTCTCTTTACACCAGTAGCGCAGTGGTTGGGGGTGACGGTGGGGGGGGGGGGAACATGGTGATTGTTTTGTTTTAGTATCCAGAAGACATGAGTTGTTAACCCTTAGGCTCGGTATTATGGATATCGCAACCTTTCGGTCTTGATTCCATTTTAAATACCGTAAATCTGGGAGAAATGTGGCTTTTCTGCCCAC